TCCACAACAGCCTGGCTAAAGAAGAAGGCCATCTTACAGAGAGGAAGAGAATGGGGTGGGGTTTACTCTTGCTGAAGGGCTCCTGCCTTTGGCTTATAGACCTAGTCTTTCCTGTTTGAGAGAAATAACTCATTCACGACCTTCACACTTCTGTTTCAATTGGAAAACTGTGTAGGTTAACACATTAAAGATGATCTCAGAAGCATCAAAATATGTTGGTGACACACTAAGGAGTGAAAACACAGACTTCCTTTTGGATTAATTTGACCAAGAGTGAACCCAAATGAATCTCCCTTTTTGTTCCTGTATCTTCTGTCTCTACGTAACTAGTGGTCACCGACCTGTCTGTTTCTGTCTCTTTTGCTGTCCCCAACAAAGAGATTTGCTCTGTATTTATTAAATAGCATAGGCACGCACACACATGAACACACAAATACACACACATACACACACACACACACACACACACACACCAAACAAACAAATAAAAAATCCCAAAGCATGGCATGGGAAAGGAATGAAGGATTTTACAGAAATGTTTAACAGGGTTTTAATTGGGGAGAAGTCATTTTACTGACCCCATCTGATTCAAATAGTAAACAATAGCAGACATTATCATGTTGTCTCTAATATTTACAGTATATATTTGTTGTACAATGCGCTTCCAATCTGTTGGCTGCTTTCAGCAAATGATTACCACAACACACACATACATACTTATAGTACTCTGGATCGGGACCATGGAACAGTTCATAGCTTAAATTAAGGTTATGCATTGGCTGAGGTTTTACAAAACACATTACATGGGAGTACCAAGTAGCATAGCAGATTAAAACTCAGGAAGTATTATTAACTTTGCTACAGGATCTGCCTAAAGTTCAGTGTTTTTTGTTTTTTGTTTTTTGGTGTGCCTGTGTGTGTGAGGGAGGATGGGGGGCTTGTCTATAGATATTGTCCTAAAATTGTATCGCTATGGAAAGCTTTCTTGAGACCAGTTTGACACTGCAGGCTTTAAATGCATGGAGAAGGGGGAAGTCAAGTTTCTGTTCTTGACTGACTTTGTTTTACTAGCCTGAGTATGTAAATTAGGTTAATGTTAATTCTTGGCTCCTAGCATACTTCTGTCATTGGCTCATGTAGCATTTTCTCTGTTTTATTTGTATTATTCTTCCATCTAACTTATTTTTCTCTGATCATATTACTGTCTTCCAAAGTGGGTTTATACTGAACTCCATGATTTTATCTATTAACTAAAATTGGATAATATGCTATCTAAAGTCTTCTTCAACTTTGATATTCTGTGAATGAGCCTAGGACTTGAAATACATTTGGCTCAGTGCCTGGCATATAACAAATGCCTAATAAATGTGACTTATTTGCATAACTTATTACTATTACCATTATTAGATCTGATGAATTTTTATTGCTATCCCTGAATCTCACATATTGGAAAGCTGTTTGGGATCATGTGACTCAGTAACTCTTCCACTGAACCGTAAAATACACAGCTACGTTTTTATTCTTGGTCAGCTCCAAAGTATCCATTATGAATTTATCATTGGCTTACAGAGTTTATGCCTAGATGTAATTTTAAAGGTTAATTTTCATTGTGGAAAAAAATGAATTATCTTACAATGCAAACATCCCAGAATAATTCTAGTTTGTAATGACAAGATACACCCTTATGGAGTTCTTGCTTTTTCCTCACTTTGATGCTGCTGCTTAAATTTCACAAAAGTTTATTTTAGAGCTATAAGGGGCCTTGGCAGGGAGGCCAAACACTAGTGGAACCTCATTGTCAAGTCATATTTTATAGGTATTATAAGTCAGGGTAAAAATGTAAAACTGCCTGAATTCACACCATATGGCAATTATAGAGGGAGCATCTATGGTCAAACCTTGAGGTGCTATTCTTTGCATACAAAAAAAGAAGCGTTCACTCAGGCTTGGACTTGGACTTCTTATCCAATGTCAATGACTAGCCACCATTATGCCATCAGAAACCCTTCCCTTTGGCTTCTGAGTATTTGTGATAAGGCTGACTGTCATAACAAGCATACCTAAAGTTACAAAATAAAGCAGTCCTTTGCTCTAGCTCTTAGTCCTTATCTGAAATCTGCATTCTTGGCCAAGGCAGACTCCATTCAAGGATGCTAAAGAGCTAATGAAATGGACATTTATGTGTATGTGTGTGTGTGTGTGTGTGTGTGTGTGTGTATGATTCTTGTGAAGGTCAGAGGATAATTTGCTGGGGGTTGAACTCAGGCTTGATGGTAAATGCCATATCACCAGCTGGACTTTCTCTTTTAAATACTTATATCATAGAGGGAAAATATGTCCTTTAAGAATAAACCTTGGTCTAAGAATTAGCCAAGTGATACCCCCAATTTGTGTCTTTATTGTGTTTGGTATGCCAAGCAGGACACACATGAAGAAATGCAAGAGTGTTAGTGAAAAGAGAAAGGTAAATACACCAAAGGAAAATTAGTAATGAGCAATTTGTCATCTTGGGGAAACAGTGTTTAGCCCCCAGAGATTCAGGCATTCCTCTTCATTTCATTCACAAGTTCAAGGCCAGAGGCAACATGGTTTTCAAGAGAAGTGTGTTTGTTTTTGTTTTGTTTTCTTTTGTGCTGTTGATAGAATTCCAGAAACCTAGAAAGAAATCTCATGTCATGCTTCAAACTTGACTCTCAAAGTACTTTGGGCTGTGACCACCCTCTTTCAGATCAAAGTCAGACAAGCTCTTTTGCCTAAGAGAGAGCAAATCTATCCAATTCAGTCCCTTATAGATGTGCTGAGATTTAGCTCTTTAGTGAACTTATTTGTTCTGTCTGGAGCTCGGGAACATTTAGTGGCATAGAAGCAGAAGGTCTGGGTGGTAGTTAACAAATCAATCTCCCTCCCTCCCTCCCTCTCTCCCTCCCTCCCTCGCTCCCTCCCTGCCTGCCCACCCCCTTACTCTGGGATCCATGGTATAGGGGGTAAGAGCTGTGTCCAAAGGGGCTGGCCAGTAGTTAGACTGCACCAACACTCTAAAGTCAAACATAGTGCCTATGCTTCTCTCTTTACCAAACTAATGGGAATAACAAAGAGCCATGTTTACTCTAGAGAATTCTGAGCCTAAATTTCACCAATATTTTGTGTCTCCCCCTCCCCACAATGTTCAGCACAATGTGATAGGACCCATACCAGGTCCTCTTAAAGATGTGTTAAACTGGCCAAATAAACCAATCAATAGAATACATAGCCTTTTGGAAAAAGGTACCCATTTTTCTCATCTACCTCTTGACCTGTATCATAGGGATATTGTTATTTTGATTTTGTTTGAAATGTTCAAAACCATAGTATATTTATATGATATGCAAAATGTCATAACATTTATGCTCCTGGATTCTAGTAGAATTAAGTTCGAAGGGATGGTGCAGATAATAAAACCATCCTGTGATGGGTTAATCTCAGACACACTCAACCAGTGTTTAGGCAGAAAGATAAGGAATGGGAGAAGAGGGGAAAAGGAGATGGAAATTCAGGACAACTGCCCCTTTTAAGGCTAGGTGAACCATTTCATAAGGGCTAATTTTTCTTTTTCAATAAGTCACTCATTGGTCCTTTAACTACAAAAAGACAGTGTGGTTGGTGAAGTTTGAAGAGGGCCAGCAGGGTGCCCTGCTGTGTCTGAAGTCATTGTGCTTTAAGGCAGGCATGCTATTTGATCTGACTTTCACTATGGTCCCTTTTATATTACCACCCTGCACCGTTCCCTCCTTAAGCTTGGAAAAGTTGGAAAACTCCACTTGATGAAGAAAATGAAGCCCTAGGCTATGCAATCCAACCAGGGAATGGCCACTCCCTTGGAACCAACACTTGCCCATTCTCTTTCATTCCAGATTTTCATAAAAACTATCTTTTCTCATTCCAAGCCTGGGATTTCATTCTCCTGTGCTGTTGCTGCTGAGTATCAGAAGGGCTGATCTCTAAAGTCAGCAGGCGACAGACTTAGCTGTGGCTTTTGTAAGAGTGGATGTGTCTTAACTGTCCCTGTGGCAGCTTCTCCCGGGAGCAGAATGTACAAAATAAACAGTTGCTGAAAAGCATAAAGAATTAGCCGAGTGCAAATCTCGAGTTATTTGTTCTGCAATTGAGACACCAGTGACCTTAAAATGCTTAGTTAGTGCAGGATGTTTAGAGCCAGGATGAATGAATCTTTGCCTTGCTTCCCTCTCATTGTCGTGTAAATCTTAGACTTCACAGAGTAGTGGCAAATTAATTCAAATACATCCTGGTGGAGAGAAAAGGATAGAAACCAAGACCCCAGCGGTGCTCTCCTCTCAGTCCTCTAAGGGAGACTAGTGTAAGCTGCCCCCCCGACCCTGGAGGTTAAAGCTGGGAGAACCGGGAGGCGCTAGGACCTGGATGGCGCCTGGCTGAGCCGGGCTCGTGAGGGCGGTGGAATGGAGGAGGGAGATGTGGGAAAGGAGGGGTGCTCGGGGGGGCGGGGGAGTCATTTATGCGGAGCGGGCGCCGCTGCCGTCGCCACTCACAGTCCCCGCGCGCTGCTCAGAGCCGGAGGGAGCGCAACGAGCGGGCGAGCAAGCGAGTAGAGGGGGCGCCCGGTCGTTGTCTGCGCTCGGACCGGTCGTCTCCGCCGTGCTCCGGGGCCCCTTGAAGAGCGAGAGGCAGCCGAAGAGTGCAGGAGCGGAGCAGGGAGAGCCCTCGGCGGAGGCGCCAGTCCCACTCCATCGCCTCCTGTGCCAGCCGGGGAGTGCTCGCCCACCACCCCGCCAGCCCAGAGCCCGGGTCCCCGCTGTCCCACGGATGGTCAAGGAGCCTGCCAGAGGCTCGCTGCTTCGCTCCTTTTCGCTCAGCTCTCGGGCTCTCTGCCTCCTACCGACCGCTCCCGGTTGTGCGCCCCGCCGGCCCAGGCCGGAGAAGTTAGTTGTGTGCCCCGCTTAGCGCGCTAGCCAGCAGCCCGGGGAGCGAAGGCGGCGAAGCACCGGGACCATGGGCTGGGGCTGGGGGAGCCGCTGCTGCCGCCCGGGACGGCGGGACCTGCTGTGCGTGCTGGCGCTGCTCGCCGGCTGCCTGCTCCCAGTGTGCCGGACGCGCGTCTACACCAACCACTGGGCGGTGAAGATCGCAGGCGGCTTCGCTGAGGCCGACCGCATAGCCAGCAAGTACGGATTCATCAACGTAGGACAGGTAACTAAACTCTCGGTGCTCAGGCACTGCACGTAGAAACTAGCTGTTGGGGTCTTCTTGTCACCTCTGCTTGGACCCATCCCCCTATTCCAGATGTACTTCTGCAGCTGCGGCCCGAACTCTAGGGCGATGCTCTAGCCCGCGCGTTCCTCGCACAGTCACACACATGCCCCAAGTTTCTGGGATCTCTGTTTAATTTGTTTTTACAAGCTGTACGGGACAGGTAGAGTCTTTGGAAAATCTGAAGTGCCCCTGCACTGGCTCAGACTCGCCTTGGACCTTTGGACAGTCCCCGGGAGTTCTACTAGCCAGAGGAAACACCCTTGAAAGTAATCGTGACTGGGAAGGTAGAGACCATTGGGAGACCAAGTAGTGAGCCGCTGGACCCAATTGGGAGGGGGAAAGCCTCCTGGATTAACCTCTTGGGCCAAGTAACTACAGGGCTCTGGGGAGCCTGGGCTTCAACTGGAACTGGGGTGGGAGGAGAGAGGAAGGGGGCGGGACACCAGGAGGGAAGAACAGATTTAGAGGGGTCCTGGCTGCTGGTTCGCCTGGCTGGGATCCAAATGTGGGCCCCCAGAGCTGGGTGGGGAGGGACCTGAGAGACCTTGAAAGCCATTGACCCGGGTTCTGCTCCGGGAACTTGGGAATCTTCTATTAGGGTGAAACATGAAATACCCTGTTGCAGTCTGTGGCAGGAATGTTTTGATGAGTTGCCTTTGGTTGGTTTTCGTTTGATTTGCCTTGCTGAGGGAAATGCCAATATATTTTTATAGTACCCTGGCAGCGCTACCGATTCATATTCTGGCCAAAAGCCCTAGATTTCGTCCTCTTTCCAGTGTCCCTACCAGAAACAGGGCTGGAGAGAGGTCTGTAAGTGCCCCTCTTAAGGACCTTACAACTTGATTTGAGATCGTTCCAAGGAGGGAGTCCTGTTGTAGCTCTGACTACGGTTGAGTGTAAAGCTAAGGTTCCTACCTGAGGGCCGCAGGGGCATTTTGGTGTGTTTACACGGTGCTTCAAGGCCACGGGACAGAATTCTGTGACCATTGGTACTGCTGAAGCAAGAGGGCACAGATGGTTTCTGAGCCCATTTCCTTTGAACTCTGTGCCTAGGATGTCAGGGGCAGTCCCCACCCAGCTCTGGCCGTTGTGGGAAAGAGCTCCTTTGCCTGCTTCTAGAAATAAGCTGGGGAGCAGCTGTGAGGGTTCAGAGGGCAGGACGGGAAGGTCTTGCTCTTTACCCTGCAGAGGGAGGGAGGTTGTATTCCAGAGAAGCCAGTTCGGTGGAGGGCTGAGATCAGGGCAAGGGGCATGGTTTATGTCTCCACCATTCTCTCAGTCCCCTAAAGAAGTTAGAGCAACCAGCCAGATTTTGTTGTCTGAGTGCCTGTCACCTTCAGGAAATCACCCATTGGGGGTTCTCTTGACCTCTTCTGTGAAAGAAACACGGGGTCCATTCAAGTTGTTTTAACCAAAACTTACAGTTGAGTACCAAATATACCTCAGTATTACTGACCGGAAGGCTAAAAGACATAAAGAACACATTTATAACCTTTCAGGAGACATTTTCAGTTCAGCCAACATTAAACATCTTCTATGTCAGCAGCATCTGGGAGGCAAAGTTCTCAAACCATACTTCATTCTTTTTTTTTGTTTTGTTTTTTGTTTTTACGAGACAGGGTTTCTCTGTTTTGGAGGCTGTCGGTCCAGCCTGGCCTCGAACTCACAGAGATCCGCCTGCCTCTGCCTCCCGAGTGCTGGGATTAAAGGCGTGTGCCACCAAAGCCCGGCCATACTTCATTTTTAATTTCAAAAACAATGTTGGTACACAAATGACATAGGACACATCAGGACACTGGGACAGGAGACTGATCCCAACCTGCACAGCCGTGATGGGGACCCAAGACTCTGGTCCAGGATGGCCCCTCTGTGGATCTTGCCATCTAGAGAACCCTTCACCCAGTGTGCAGAAGGAAACAGTAAACCACCATGTCCCTGAATTCTAGTTGGGTAGCTCAGAGGACTGGAAGAAAATACCCAGTCACCCACTGCTCACTGACATGTAGTTTAGAAGGACCTGGACTTGTTGACAGTAGAAGGCTTCTTAGCTTGCAAGGGTAGAGAGACACTTCTGTCCTCCTGGACTTAGAATAGAGCTTAGATTGCAGAATCCTATGGCCTCTAGTGAGAGAGGAGCAAGGTTATCTTATCCACATTAAACAAGCAAACAAGTCAGTGTCCTATAACCTCTCCTGACTTTTTACAAATGTCTTTATAGAGAAGAGTCACAGCTCTCCATGTCAGAAGTAATACTAAGAAAGTTTGTATATACATAACACGAAATACTATTTACTGTGGTTTTTACAACCACATTGTGGAAATACAGCTCTCCTGGGTTATAGAGGACTGCTGAATTGATGCAATACCTAGTGTAAAAAGATCTGCTATTGTACAGTGTAAAACATTCTTGTGCAAATCAAAGGAGGACAAGCTTTTGGCTTCAGCTGGGTAAATTGAGTTCTTGTGTGCAAGATCATGGCACTATAAAGGCAGAATGTATTTCGTATTCATCCTTTACTGCACTGACCTTTTAACACTTTAGACATCCTTTTGTTATTCTTTCTTTCCAGCAATAAACCAGCTGTGGTGCAGCTTAGGGCAGTAAATAATTTGCCAATGTCTCTGGAATGTTTTCACGTTTTGTGCTGTGAGTCCCGGGTGTTATCTCATGTGTCACAAATTGGACCAAGAACTTGTTTGTTATTTCTGAAGTCATTTATGATCCTGGTGGTGTGTAGACACACATATATACGATACAATATTTAGATGAGTAAAGTAGTGAATTTTTACCACAGTGAAGCTACAGTGTTGGCTGTCTACTTGGAATATCAATGCAGTGCTTTGTGTAGCATGTTAACATTTAAAGGTAAGATTTGTGGCCTGGAGATTTCTGTAGAGAAGTGAAGGGGGCTGCGTCTCTTTTCTGTTCACGGAAGATAGAATGTTCAGAGTAACGGGATAAGCAAACAAGCAAAAGAGGACCTCTAGACGGGAGCAGCAATGAGGGCTGTGTTTCCTCTGGTTATGGAGATAGTATTATGCATTCTTAGATTTTCATAAAATGCTCTCATTCTATGAAATGCTTATGGTTTAAAATTCTGAAGTGATGCCTAGTCATAATCATTGCTAGTCGTTGTCATTTCCTCAGCATATATCAAGTTTTGCTTGCTATGTCAGCTGTGGGATGCCTGGAGTTGGCAAGCTGAGCTCTGACTAGGAGCCCCTGGAGTATCTAGAACTACCAGCCCCTATTGGAATGCCTAAGGGTAGGAGTTAGGCATGGCTGTTGGCCTGCTTGTACAAGAAGAAGAGGCCTTTGTCCTCTGTTACTAACTGGATCCCCTGAGTCTTTGAGTTAACAGTCTACTGGTTAGGGAATTGAAATATAAAGGAATAAGGTCAGATCCATATTGTTAATTGTTGGTAGAATAGATCTGTGTAGAGAGGAATTAATTTCTGGTTATTTGAATCCAGGCAGAAGATCTCTTGTGAACAAATGGTTTGCAATGTGTAGTTGCTGTATTTATCCTTCTGTGAATTGCCTTTAGTCATTGATTCCAAGCCAGAGATTACCGATAGCAGTCCTCACCACCAGCCATGTCACCTTTTGAGCAAGTCTCCACAAGAGTAAAGCCAAATGGAAGCTATCCTGGGGTTTGCTTGACACAAGACTCCCCCAGAGACCATATGGGTGTGGAATCTGCAGAGGCTACTAGGGAGGCTATGTAAGTCACTGAACTCAACGGTACCCCTGTGCGTCTGTCTGTAAAGTGATAAACCTTGAGATAACAGAGTGGGTTAACTATGTGCTGCTCAGCACACAGGCCTGCCATAGAATGTTTGTTGAATTTGAATCAGAGGAGAAAGATTAAAATGTGAGCCCTAAATGTTATTTAGATATGGTGAAAGGAGAACTTTTTTTTAAATGGGAGATACAAAATGTAGATGTCGAGAAAGTGAATTTTCATGGCTAAGTCAGGTGAGTTTTGTACACAGGGAGGATGATTTTCTATTTCAACTAACCATTTAAGACAGTTTCAAAACAGTTTTATGTTGAGCTTAAACAATGAGAGCTGAATTCCCTGGATGGTACCATCTTCCCTCATTTATCTTTACTGTAGCATCTAAGCTTGCTTGAGATGGAAGGAAGGAAAGACAGTATGTAAAGAATGAGGACTAGGGATGTAACTTAGTTAGTAGTATTGTACAAAGAGCTGAGTTCAGTCCCTAGGGCAACCTAAATTGGGCACGGTGGTTCATGGATTGGAAGTTCAAGGTCATATTCAGCTATATAGTGAATTTGAGGTCAACCTGGGCTACGTGAGATGCTCTCTGAAACTGAAATTGTCTGAAGAATAATTATTACGAGCATTTTACCTTAGTGTATTCTGCTGAATCATATTTGAATTTACATATTAAAACTGAATGCTATGTGTACAAATAACCCAGTATAATTTTCCAGGTAAGCAGGAAAAGCTCTTGAGCGGGAAGAACCTCCATTAAAGATGCTGCTGTCTCATTTCCTGATTAGTTTTGACCTGTGGATAACAGGATGCTGAAGTGCTGATGAATGTTGTGGAGTGAATTCCAGGTGTTCATGGACAGCATAGGGGGATGCGGCTAGCCTGATAGGAATTCCCCCCTCGTAAATCTGTAGGCATTTTGTAAACATGAGAGTAAATGGATGGTTAATCCCAGTTTCATTCCTGTGTGATACATCTGGCCTTGCCCAGGATGGCTCTTCGTAACCAAGGACCTCAGCCCTGCCTTGGCTAGCTGCTCTCATATGCATATTTCTCATGATGGACTGAATCAGAACAGGGAAACCTTGACTAGAAAAAGCAATCAAAGGCCATGGCCTGATGATGATGGAGTGTGTGTGGGGGTCTGTTGTGTTAACCTCATAGACAAAGAATGGCTTATGTGAGACCTTTGGG